CCGCAGAGGCAGAACTGCAGATCTGGAGGGCCAGCTATAAAGTTATACACAGATTTTATGCACAGAGGGTCAGCACCCCTAAACCCTGTGTTGTTCAAGGGTCAACTGTATAATGAAGCTACATATATAATTTAAATTTTTAAGTACTCATTTTTTAAACAAAAGAACTAGGTGAACTTCGTCTAAAATATGTTTTTTTATTTAACCAGTATACTCAAAAATATTATTATTTTAACATGCAGCAGATACAAAACTTGAGTTTTTTCTATAATTTTTTATTGTAGTAAAATATATAATACAATAATTTTTTATTGTAGTAAAATATATAGCATAAAACTTACCATTTTAACCACTTTATAAATATACAGTTTATAAGTGGCATCAAGTGGATTCACAGTGTTGTTCAGCCATCACCACTGTCCACTTCTGGGACTTGTTCATCATCCAAACTGTAACTCCATACCCATTAGACAGTCATTCCCTATTTCTCCCTCCCTGCAGCCCCTGATAACCTCTGTTCTACTTTCAGTCTCTATGAATTTGCCTATTCTGGGCACCTCATGTACATGGATGAATCATAGAATATTTGTCTTTTTGTGGCTGGCTTATTTCCCTTAGCATAATGTCTTTGGGGCTTACCCATGCTGAAACATGTGCCAGAATTTATTTCCTTTTGAAAGCCAAATAATATCCTATTGTATGTATATAGCACACTTTATCTATTCATTTGTTGACGGACATTTATTGAGATATTTTACTTTTTTTGTACTGTCTTTTGAAGTCTGGTGTGTATTTCACATGTACAGCACATCTCATTTGGGACCAGCCACATTGCGGTTGCTCAGTGGCCCCTTGTCGCCAGTGGCCACCACATTAGAGAGGGACAGGGCTGCAACTTGCACAACTCCTAGTTTATGACCAGATCTACAAAATGGACTTTGTGTCTCCTTTCTCTGTGGTGGCTGGAAGGAGTGTCCTGGAGGTTGCTCCGTGCAACACAAAGCCACATCCAGTCACTAACAAACAAGTTAAACTCTAAGAAAAGATGGAAAGGAGAGGCAAGCCCAGAACAAACCTGTCTTTAACCCCATTGCCACTTGTTGATTATGTCAGAATATGTGTTCCTGGTTCTTGACTCTTGCATGATATTCAAAAGGGGTCCTTTGAGCTCTTGGTAAGGCAGCATGATGCCTGTGTATGGAAAACTTGTTTTCTTACGGATTTTTCAAGCACTCCGGGAATTCACATTTTTTGGTATGTTGGATTCCATGAATGTCTCTAGCTCTTCTTTGTCGGTATGTTGAAGCACAGACACATTTTTTTTTAATACCCTGATTTTTAAATGTTGGGCCAAAAAATGACACATCCATAGGCAGGATTCATGATTTGTGCTGCTGGGTCTCTGTGGGGTACAAGCTGGTCCGCCTAGCTGGATCTGGAACCCAGCCCAGGTCATGAGAGAATGACCTGGCTACTTGGAGTGGGTATCCAAAGAAAAGGATGTCCTCAAGGAATTCTCAGTTTCAGTTAAAGTATTATGGGGCCCTACAGGTGTTCCATTCTCGTCTAACCCCTGTCATCCTGCCATCAGCTGCATTCATCCGAGTTGTGGGCTCAGAGTTTGTACAGAAGTACCTGGGTGAGGGCCCTCGCATGGTCCGGGACGTGTTCCGCCTGGCCAAGGAGAACGCACCTGCCATCATCTTCATAGATGAGATTGATGCCATCGCAACCAAGAGATTCGATGCCCAGACAGGGGGTGAGTGATGCCCAAACAGGGCCTGGGGTCTTTTTTTTTAATGAATTTATTTATTTTATTTTTTTGGCTGTGTTGGGTCTTCGTTGCTGCGTGTGGGCTTTCCCTAGCTGCAGCAAGCAGGGGCTACTCTTCGTTGCGGTGCCCAGGCTTCTCATTGCAGAGGCTTCTCTTGCTGCATTGCAGAGCACTGGTTCTAGGCGCACAGGCTTCAGTAGTTGCAGCGTGTGGGCTCAGTAGTTGTGACTCGCGGGCCCTAGAGCGCAGGCTCAGTTGTGGCGCACGGGCTTAGTTGCTCCGCGGCATGTGAGAGCTCCCTGGACCGGGGCTTGAACCCGTGTCCTCTGCACTGGCAGGCAGATTATTAACCAGTGTGCCACCAGGGAAGTCCCAGGGCCTGGGGTCTTGGGCAGGCTTGTCATGCGGGATGCCCTGGACTGACTGTGTTATATACTATCCAGCTGACAGGGAGGTTCAGAGAATCCTGCTGGAGCTACTGAATCAAATGGATGGATTCGACCAGAACGTCAACGTCAAGGTTTGGGGTTCAGGATGGGCGAGGGGAGATGTGGTGTGGGAATCAGGGAAGGATGGAGGCTGGCATGTGAGGAGATAGGTATTGCGACAGGATGGAGTATAGTGGGGACAGAGGTCTGAGCTGGCCTGTCCCCGATGCCAGGTGATCATGGCCACAAACAGAGCAGACACCCTGGATCCTGCTCTGCTGCGGCCGGGACGCCTTGACCGTAAAATTGAATTTCCACTCCCTGACCGCCGCCAGAAGAGATTGATTTTCTCCACTATCACCAGCAAGATGAACCTCTCTGAGGAGGTTGACTTGGAAGATTGTATCCTGCTCTAGAAGCGAGGGGAGGGTCACCGTTGAGAATGGGGATTAGATCTCTACCTCTGCCATCACCACCACCCAGACTGTGCAGGTGGGAGACCAGGGTCTGGGGAGGGGGATGGTGACAAAGACAGCCCAAGAACGACTTCTGGCTCCAGGCATTCACCCAGTCATGCATGGAGTGGTTTCCTTAACTCACCTGCCATAGATGTGGCCCGACCAGATAAGATTTCAGGAGCTGATATCAACTCCATCTGTCAGGAGGTGAGTGCTGGTTTCTCTCTAGATTGGGCAGCGGGTGTGTGAAGACCCTCCACTCTGCTGCAGTCCTGTCCATCATTGCCTCCCTGGGTCTTAGGCTGCCTCTGTCTCTTCCTGCACCATCATTAGGGGCGGGGAGTGCAGGGAGTAGATTTTAACTGTCATCCCTCAACAGAGCGGGATGTTGGCTGTCCGAGAGAACCGCTACATTGTTCTGGCCAAGGACTTCGAGAAAGCATACAAGACAGTCATCAAGAAGGACGAACAGGAGCATGAGTTTTACAAGTGACCCCTCTGCCCGCACCACAGGGGCCGGGGGTTCGCTCACTTCCCCAGCCTCTGTCCCCAAAGCTAGTTCTGTTTTTTCTTTACCCAGAATTGATTTATTCAATAAACTAACAAGATCAAATCTGTTTAATTTCTTCTTACAAGTTTAACTCCTTTGGAGAAGCTGGGCCTTGAATAGGATCCTCTGTGCCCCTCCTGCTCTCCTGACAGATGAGCAGGTACATGGTCTGGGTTACAGCTTGAGAGAGAAGTAAAGAATTCAAACTAGGGCTTCCCTGGTGGCGCAGTGGTTGAGAGTCCGCCTGCCGATGCAGGGGACACGGGTTCGTGCCCCGGTCCGGGAGGATCCCACATGCCGCAGAGCGGCTGGGCCCATGAGCCATGGCCGCTGAGCCTGCGCGTCCGGAGCCTGTGCTCCGCAACGGGAGAGGCCACAACAGTGAGAGGCCTGCGTACCGCGAAAAAAAAAGAATTCAAACTAAATGACCAGAAATTTGGGGAAAAGGATGGAAAATGAGCAGACTGCAGCCCCTGACCAGAAAATAAAGTCTCTATCCATCTCCCCACTCACATTTACCATTCGAGTCTTGGGCAATTCCTGCCTTCTTCACACTCAGAGGGAGAATCAAGGACAGAGAGACCACCCATTAGGGTCCCCCAGAGCAGGGATGAGGGGGTAGGGGGGAGGTTGGATGCCTGGGTTCTGTGAATGTCTCTGGCTCTTCATGCCATCCTGTTGGGGCACAGATGTGTTTGGTAGGACCAATTCCCACTTTCTCTTGAAATCTGTTTAAACACCTCTCCCTCTGGGGAGCCTCCTGATGCCCCACGAAGGGAAGTAACCCTTCCCCTACACTGCCCTGGCGTCGTGGACATGCTGTGCTTTGCACTCCTTACATCTCCAAGTGCTTGCCTCCTCCAGACTGGAACCTCTTGTAGAGTAGTCAGGGATTGTAGCTTGATCACAATTCAAGTCCCAGCACCCACACATGGTAGACATTCAGTTCATGTTCCTTGAACAAAAGTATGAATGTCACTATATATTTGGGAGTGAGATGGGAAGAAGATATAAGGAAAAATAGTTGAGGAATCACAGGTCCTTGAAGAGACGGGGGTGATTCTGCTAGATAAGCATGGCATGTTGAGCGGAGAAGTTAATTCTTCCTCTCTCCTGGCACCTCACTAAAACAAAAGTAAGGTATAAATTCACATGGACACAGGAAGAGAGAGGAGATGGCAGCAACGCAATTTTGGAAAGGGGCAGATACCTGCTGATTGATGTAGCAGACCTGAGGAAACTTGAACCTGAACTCAAGGGAAGCCCAGAAACAGTCATTTTCCCCTTTCAGAAACCAGAGGTGCCAGGTTCTGAAGGTGAGGCCTGGAAACAGGAGGACTACCTGAAAGGCTGTATAGAAACCAGAACTGATACACTGATTATGCAGGAAACAAAGGAGCTGTTGTTACTCCAGGCCCTGTGACCCTTCCCCAGCCTGGCTGAAGACCTCAGATTTACTCTGGGAAGGCTGAACCAGCAGTCTCTGGGCTGGTGTGCCTGGAGCAAGGATGAGAGCTGGGCCGTGCAGAAGACGAGATTGAGATTAAGTGAGATCCCTGGGTAGGCAATTGAAGGATTCCTTCTGAGGAAACCAAGCAGCATGAGAGAAACAGGAAAGTGGGTTGTTAAGACACCTAAAGTCCTCATCATTCACACTCAGCAGCGGCTAATATCTAAAATGATGAGTTTACAAAAGCATGTAACTTAGACACATGGAAGTGAATTTCAAAAGAAACAAATGAGGATGGGAAGTCCTTGCCTCTTGGAAGTAGACAGGGAAATACAGGGTGAGGGAGACATGGGAATGCTTTTTGTTTCTAATATACTTTATATATAATTGACCTTTTAAAATAGGTACTTAAAAAACGACAGTGACAAAACCACGCGAAAAAAAGGATTTTACAAGTCCTCTTGGAGGGACGGTAAAGGAAGGAAATTGCTGAAGTGACAAACATCCTAAACATCAGTGATAAAGGGCAAAGAGATTGGGAAAAGAACAAAGCCACGTACCTAAGAAATGACAGCAGACCAGTGTGAGGCTAAAGCTATAACTGGTAAGAGGTGGTAGCCACTCACATTAGCTGGGAGAAGGGATATTTGGTATATTTTGTGGGTTGCCCAGCAATCTTGCTGTCTGTGCTTAGGCAAAATTATGAAATGGCCTACCATTATCATGGTCTCAGAGTGACCTTGATATTGATGTTCTGTGAGACTGTTCATGTGCAACAGGATAACAGGCCCCGCTGTGAGCACCAGGCCAGCTTTCAATACCACTGAGGCCTACCTGTAAGTGTCAGGCCAGTTCCTGGATGTCAGCGGCTGCTTTTTTTTCTTCTCAAGTACGTGCTACTGCGTTGAGGGAAAAACTAAGGCCGGCTTGCTGAACAGCCCAGACACTCGTGCATTTTGGAAGTGTAGTCTTGAAAGCAAGTGTTTTCCTGCCAAGCGAAACACATATCGCTTTTCTCTGTTCTGCTCTGCAAAGACAAGAGGGGAAAAAAAAAACCCTTAAATATATATAAACCTTTTTGTTTATTTGTTTTTAATTGTAAAAATAATACACATAAAGGAGCCCAAAATATAAGTGTATAATGTAACAACTTATTATAAATAAAACACTTGCGTAACCATCATCCAAGGACCAGGCTGTAGGTTTCCACTGAAAAAGAAATTCCTACACAGCTGCCCATAGGCAGTGATGATCCATTTTGTGAACACATCTGTAATTACTGCAATGGAGAGGGCACCCTGGATTGATAGAGCCAGTTTGGACAAATGTCAATCATTTCCCCAGGTTTCATGTATTCTACATTTCCTTTGAGTACGACCAGCATCAGGAAGCATATCTCAGATGAGACTACAGTGCATGTACTGCTAAGTAGTTAAAAAGGACTCTGTTGATCAAAAATGACTCTGTACCAATGCAGCAACGTGACAAACGTCACCACTGTCTGCACAGACCAGAAGCCATGTCATGATGGCACAGGTCACACCAAAGCCAACCTAGATGACTCAAACGTGGTCTTCCATGTCAGTCTCAAAGGGAGAGGAGGAGGATGAAGGAGCATAAGGAGAAGGAGCCACAAGAAGACAGTGCTCAACGTCCTAATGACTACCTAATGTTTTTTTACTTGTCCTCACAAATTATCCCAAAATATTACTTGGACATTTTGCTTCTTCTTCAGGATCTTAAGGTATATTTACTGTCTTATGTCATAGGACAGGAGGCTCCAGTGGAACGCTCAGCATGGTGACTCCTCCTGCTAAAGCAGCGACACGTCAGGCCAGGCAGACGCTGAACCCAGAGTCCTGCAAGGGAGAGCAGGGTTCTCCCCAAAAGTGAGCCTGGTGACCTCAGTGGCCCAGCACCTGCTTATTTTTATTTTTATATCGATCCATATATATAATTGTGAGTTCATACCACTGCATCTAGTTTCAACGTGCCATCACAAGGTTCATTCTAGTTCTCTCCTTTTCCATATCTGAGGTTCCCCGCTGACAGGGAGAAGCTTGGCTGCTCTCAATGCACTTATTGGGTTGGCCAAAGAGTTCGTTTGTAATAGCTTCCAGAGAACCCCGAATGAAATTTTTGGCCAACCCAATAATATATTTACTTACTTGATCAGAACCCCACCTCCACCCCCGCCTGCCACTGCATGTAACAAACTCCTATCACCCTGTTGCGCCCTTCCCCATACAGATGCTCTCCTCACCCTACTTGGGTTCTGAGACTCACTACCTCCTATATCCAACCGACATGAATGTCTCCAACACCCCAATTTGGGCTCCAACACCCAATGCTGGGCAGTACCCATACCCACATGCCCTTTTCACCCTGTTCAGGCTCTGAAATCCCGTACAGGCCATTCCTCCTGTGTGGACGCCCTCCTCATCCTGCTCAGGTTGACACTCCCATGCTGGGCCATTCCACCACTTGGAATGCTCCCTAGTAAGCCCTGTCACCCTACACCAAGCCACCAGCTGCATGAACACCCTCCTCATCCTGCTCAGGCTCAAAGACCCTGCTCTGAGCCCATCTTTTGGCTTTAGGACTGAATTGCTCAGAAAGGGAAGGGAAGAGGAAGAGCAAAATGTGTTAGCGTCTGACTAATTGTGGGCTCGCTATACTATGGCACGCTGCCTTTCCAAGCATAAAGCTATCCCCTCAGCCCAAGATTCTCAAATGTATCTGCCACGAGACCCCTCACAGCAGAGTGGAAAGAATTCCTTCATATTTAAAAAAAAATTACTATGATTTACATTTTTCTCTAGGAAAAAATTCATTTGATTCTATACAAAATTGTTTGACAGATAAATTACAGATCTTCGGTCCAAATCTTGAAATACACAGCTGATGCTGCAAGAAGATGCACCATATCCTTTTTATAATAGGCCTGTGGCTGCACACGATCACACACACCCAGTCGCGAGGCCACTGGCACCCGTGACGTTCTACACGCAGATACTCAGATTCACACAGCTATGCTGCACTCGCCAACCGCCCCGGTCACACAGCGACCCGCACACCCATCCCATCACACACACATCACCCCAGTCACAGTCCGGCACAGCCAGTCTCCCACCGCGCCTCTCGCCTCACTGCTCAGTCACGAATCACACTCCAGGCTACTTTCTGTGGCCTCTCTCCTGTCAGGTGCCGCTGCAGGCACACACCGTCTCGCACCCAAAGAATTACACACACGCAGAAACACAACTCACCCTCGGCCAGAGGCGGGGTCGGCCCCGCAACCCTCACGGCGTCGCGCGCGTGCAGACAGGTGCGCACACACAGACACACGCTCATGAGGCCGGGTACAAAGGGCCACACGCCTGTGAAACACGCGAGGGGACTACCCGGAGGGAAGACTCTGACAGAATCCGCCTCGCACGTGCTCGGCTTCAGGACGGCACCCACGGACGCACTCGGCGGTCAAGACTCTGGAGGTCCGTCGAGGCTCGCACAGCCTGGACAGGTCCCCGCTGTGAGTTCTCTCAGCTTACCTCGCGAGGGCGCGGGTTCCCGGCTCCGGGACTTGAGTCGCTCGGTCCCGAGCGTGCCTGCGCCTGCGCACTCAGAGCCCAGCCCACCGTCTTCCGGCTGTGGACTACATTTCCCAGAAGCCCCAGGGGGGTGGTGTAAACTTCCACCTGGAGGGCCTCTAGCCGTGCGTACTGGGTGTTTCAGTTACCGCGGGTGAGTTAGTCGAAACCTGGGGAGAAGTTGGTGCTAGGTGAGGCGGAGCAGGACTCGTCTGGGGTAGGGAAAGGGATGGAGCTGTAGCCAGAGTGAGGAGCCCAGGGCGCATCGTGCCCGCAGCCTCAGGCCTGTATTGGAATGAGGAGAAGAGAGGGGGGATTGTGTGACTAATTGTGACAGGCTGTGTGTGTGTGTGTGTGTGTGTGTGGTGTGTGCGCGCGCGCTCCCGCGCGCTTTCCAGAACCAAGTTGGGCCTCCTGTCGGTGGGCGCGGTTGTCATTCTGATACTGGTGCTTGGGTCAGCGGTGTGTGTGACTGACCCACGCCCCTGCTGCTTTCCCCTTCCTTCCCTCACAGCCCGGGTGTCTGTACAGACTTTCCCAAGAGGAAGTCAAATATTGAACCCTAGAATGAAGAGTCCCAGAAAGCAAGAAGACACAGTCCTGGGCTTGGTATAGGACTTTTAGAGCTAAAAGTGGCTCCAAGACAAACTCCTGGCTCGAAATGGTGGGAGGGGTTCCTACTTGGAGGCGCTGTGGGTGCTGCTACATTTTTCAGAACCACAGCTTTCCCATATCTCTGATTCTAGGAATCGGCTGTGATTTCAGAGACAGGTTCCAGCCTCCCTGTCTCATCTGGTCATATGTGTGAGGTCGGAGCTGATGTGGCCCTGGAGGGGACTTCTCCATCTCTCTGTGCTCTAAGAAAGGCCTGAAGAAGGTCTCATGATTTCCTTCTTCCCCAGTCCTGCCTTTCTCCCCCAAGAAGTATCCTGAGCAGGAGGGGAAAATTGTTGTTGCACATCTAAAAGTACAGATCAGGTGAGTTTCTACTTCCTCTTTGTTCAGAAATGCATCTTTGTTTTTAGTACATGGAAGCATTTGCTTTTCTTTTCATGAAATGTCCAGTGGCCTATTCTAGGCCTTCCTTCCCAATGAATGAGGGGTCGTGCAGGTGGCCCTCTCTCACTCACTTTTTATAATAGTAAGAAATATATATCCTGGAGTCTAAAGTTAAAGCTTTGTTTTATTGAGATTAATATTTAAGTGGAATCACATCACTGATCTTCTGCAGAACCTAAGTTTAAAAGGCAAGATCAGAGGTAGTCTGACTGGTGTCCGTAAGTAAATGACACGGGCGTCTGTTTTTTAAGGTGTTTAGGAGCAGGAATGTGAATGGAAGTCTGAGCGTGGAAATCTGTATCATCATGGTCAAGGGTTTCTTCCAAGGAATCAATGGGTTGAGATTTATGTTTATAAAGAGTTTGTCAAAAGAAAAAAATGTACATATGAGTAAAGTAATATTCATTGTGATGAACAATAATACTCAAATTTTAAATTTTATATGAATGTCATTTACTGTTATTGGAATTCAGAGACATTTTACAAGGGTTATATCCAAAGCGATATTTCAGTTGATTATTCAGCGGAGAAAGAGAAAAAGAACCAAACACTGTTCTGTCTGCTTTGCCCAAATTTTCTTATTTAGTCTGCAGATGCCCCTCACCTGACATGTCCATTCAGAGGAGAATTTTGTCAGTAAAAAGCTCTCATTGTATTGAAGAAGAATGTTCAGGAATTGGTAGGCTTTATTATAATGGTCACACTGATTCCCTTACTATTCCCACACATGTCAAACAGATTTGCTTCCAAGAATTTTCAAATATTTTAAAATTGGATATAGATTTATTATATACTTAAGATTATGGAATTAATGCTCATTTTTTGCAAAAAGAATCAGTTATTCAATTATATTACAAGAGGGACTTAGAAAAAAGAAAGTTAAATAGCCCCAGCACCACTATTAATACTTTGGGGAGGTTTGTTTTTTTTATACTATGCTGTTTGAATTTTATTTTGGAACATCTCATTCAGATCAAAGTGACAACAAAACTTGTAGTAATAACAAAAATTCCATGAGGAGTGATTTGTTGAGCCAGATTTATTAGAATTCTACTAGAAGTCTTTTCTTAGGTAATGACATTGTTAGTTCTCCCTTAGCCAATTGTAGTGAGTTCCAAAATATTTAGATCCCAGCTAGTAGAATTGAAGTTTTGAACCCAAACTCATAATTTATTTTTTTAACTTTTTATTTTACACTGGAGTATAGTTGATTAACAATGTGTTAGTTTCAGGTTTACAGCAAAGTGATTCAGTTATATATATACATGCATCTATTCTTTTTCAAATTCTTTTTGGGGAGGTTTATTTTAGCAAAATTTTTTTCTCTCCAGCTGTGTGTGTGTGTGTGTGTGTGTGTGTGTGCACAGAACAGAAATTATTCTAATTGAACATTCAAAGGACACAGACTCCCCAACTCCTATTTAGAAAAAGTAATTCTACCATAGGTTTCTTATACCTCCATGAATATAGAAAGAAGAGGAAAGTGCCAATGAAGCCCTCTAGTTTGACAAACCTTCCAAGTATTTACATCTCCAGATTTATGCCTTTTAGGGTTATATAAATCAATTCAGAGTAATCATTATGGCACAATTTATCAAATAAGATAAGCTTCAGATTACACTTGTTTTAGATTTTTAAAGTTGCTTTCTTAGCAATACCCTCTCTAGTCCAAGTATCTTTTAATGCAAGTAACATTTTAGAAGACAGATTTATAATAGTAGAAAACAGAATAAGATGGTAATAATTATAAATATTCATGTAAATCTTTACATAGGACAGGAGAGTAAGATTGAACCTCTTATTAACGTTCTCCATTTAATACCTTATTAGGTTCTTTACTTTAGCTTTATGTTGAAGAATGGTGTCTCTTCTTTGGTAGCTGCAGGAAAACAGTGGGCATGAGACTCAAATATTACTATAAAAAAAGAAAGTAGAAAATAATTTTATCTAATAACAATACTATCTAACTTTTATTTAGTAATTATAGGTCATTAAGTGGTGTCTATGTAATATCCCAACCTTCATGATAACTGTAGGAGGTAGGTGCTATTCTTATCCCTGGTTTATCAATAAACTAACTGAAAAGTTGGTAGTTGTCAGACTAGGACTCACATTCTGGAAGTCTGACAACAGAGTCTGTATTTATGAATGACATTATAATCCCTCCCTTCATTTTACATACTGTTTTGTTTTGTTTTGTTTTTTGGCCGCGTTGTGCTGCTTGCGGAATCTTAGTTCCCTGACCAGGGATTGAACCTGGGCCCTTGGCAGTGAAAGCGCAGAGTCCCAACCACTGGACCGCCAGGGAATTCCCTATAATTCTTTAATTTGCCTGTATCAGTCAGTAATTCATCATGAATGTCTTTCTCCAACATTAATAACTAGTTTGCCATCATAACTGACCAAAAGTTATGCAACCTGTTGCCTCCTGTAGCTATTTATTTTTCTAACAGTTGGTTACTCTAAGTTGTTATATGATAAACATCTTGTGCATGTATCTTAGTGTGCTAAGAAAAACTGCCAAAAATGGAATTTTGGTCAAATAACAGACATAAGGGCTCACAGTATGCTGAATCTCATGATAGCAGTTAGAGGAATACAAGCACTGAAACATAGTTACTATCCCTTAAGTTTCTTGTTATACAGCAAATAATATAAAATCAGAGTAGACAGAATAAGCATGAGATAGGAAGTAATAAAGCCACCAGAGAAATTCAGGTCACATGCCTTGGGAATTCATAGGAAGGAGATATTGTATCTCTAGCAACCTCTGTCAGGTTTTGACCAAATTATTCTGAGTTCAGAGGAACTCTATGGTAAAAAAATGGAATTTAGGCTGTATGATTCATACCAGCTCTGTCCAGTAGAACTTTCTGTGGTGATGGATATGTTCTGTATTTACATTCTCCAAATGGTAGCTACTAGCCACATGAAGCTATCGAGCACATGAAATGTGGCTGGTGCAACTGAAGACACTGAACTTTTAATTTTATTTAATTTTACTTAATTTAAAATTTTGATTTGATTTAAATAGCCATATGTGGCTATCATGTTGGATCTCGCAACTTCATAACTTACAGTTTTTTTTCTAATGATGTTAGATTCAAAGTGAGACTAATGGAACAGCTACAGATAACGTCATCAGAAATAGGGGTGGACTAGAGACCCTTCTGCTAGAGTGCCTGGTCTGGCTTCATGCAGGAGGCCTCTGCTCTGTATCTATACTTGTGCAGCTGGTTCCCTGTGGTATAGGAAGGGTTTGGCTTCATCCAAGCTCCCTCTTATCTCTCCTCATTTGTATGTGGGGCACTGTGGGGTAGAAGTAGAAAGAAGGCAAAACAGGATCATGTTAACTTAAGTCATCTTGGGATTTCTTTGAGACACGCCTGGTCTCAAAGCTTCCTGTTCCTCCCCCAGTCCTGGCTTCTCTGGACTCTGTGCTTTTCGAGTGGAGGAAGCCCAAAGAGAACAAGTTCTTGCAGTTCTACAACCATGGCCCATGTAAGTCCATGTTTATCCTCCTTGAGATGTCGTGGTTTTGAATTCCTGTGATCATTTTTATTATCCTGAGACTTCCTTCCTAAGACAACCTGATTGCTGAAGCTGCACCCAGTTGCTCTGATCACAGTGAAGGATGGTGTCACACAGCCTAGTGGCCTCCTCCTTTGCCCCTCTTCTCTCTTTGCCCCTCTTCTCTCTCACCTGTGTTCACCTATTCATCACCTCTCCAAGTGCCCGGTCTCTCTCAGGAGCACTGATGGAGCAGTGATGGATGAAGTTGCTTGAGGGAGATACCTGAACTTCCCTTGTTAGAGTCATGATTCTATGACACAGAGATGATGGTCCATTAGACTCCACAGACCTGAGTTTTACAGGTTGATAAGATGGAATTTAGTGTTGAGTGTTCTGCATGTGATGAGATCCCATACCCTGAGAAACTTATAGGGCAAGATTGGAGTGTGACTGAGGCCTGCACGTGGGGATATCAGGGATCTATCCAGGGGGTCCCCAGAGGGATGAATAACAGGACAAAAGTCAATTTTGTGGTTGAGGAGGATGTGCTGGTCTCTAGTGACATCAGTGTCATTGTGGATCATCCTACATCAGCATCCTCCAGCTCAGGATCAAGACAAGTGTTCCTGAGGGATGGTGGTAGCAGGTAGGAAGACCCTCCAGTTCCCTTATGGGGAATGAAGAAAGGCTAATGGGACTGGGGAAGACCTTAGACATCTTGTCCAAAATAAATGCCTAAATATGACAGAAGGATTAGTCTGATATATCCACAAGATGGATGATTAGCCAGCCGGTAAATAAATTAACTAAAGAGTTTGTCATTTGTTATAACAAGGAAAAATGCTTATGACATTTTCTTGGATAATGATGAACCTGAGTTTTAAGGAAATCAAATGTCAATCGCGTCCTATTTTCTAAGATAGAGATTTTAGAGTACTTTTGGGGAAAAACAATTCATTACTTCATTTTTTTTTAATTCCTTAAAAAAAAAAATTCCTTGAAGGGAAAAGAGAATGGAACTCACATTTATTCAGAACTTAAACGGCAGGCACGTGATAGGCAGTGTGCTTATTTATAGGATTTCATTTCATTGGGAACCTTTGATTATTTTATTCATTCATTCATCCCATGGTATACAGGACATTCTGTTTGTACCAACTGTATTCTTTAAAAGCACACAGGCACTCCACTTGAGAAGTCACGGATTTTCTTATTCTTCCCTACATATCACGGGCTTGAACCTCAGTTTACTGCTTGCTATATCATGGCCTCTTTCTTGCAAAGCAGTTTTCCATCTTGAAAATACATTTAAAACGTTGTTTATGATACATGGGTCTGTCATTTCAGATGTCCTTGTCATTCAGGGACGTGGCCATAGACCTCTCCCAGGAGGAATGGGAATGCCTGGACCCTGTTCAGAGGGCCTTGTACAGGGATGTGATGTTGGAGAACTACAGCAACTTGGTCTCATTGGGTAAGGATATCTGTGCAAATAACTGACAATCTGTTTTCTGGAATATCAGTTTTCTCCATTGTTGAATTTCAGAGCTCTGTTTTAAGACACCAGCTGAATGTCTGCCCCCTATTTTGAAAGAAATGGTTTGAGCATTACTGGGTTGGAAATAGGCACTTGGTTAAGCACCATCTTCTCCATCCTGCAGTGACCTTCTCTCTTCCCTCTGGCCCTTCCTATAATTGCCTGTTTTCCTAAATTAGTCCTAGATTTGAGTCCCAAGACATTTTCAGAGAAGCCAGGTGTCATATAATGGGTGTGCTCAGAATTCCTGTAGCTGCTCTGTGTTCATGTCTGACTCACTTGAAAAGAGATTAGCTAGTCTCAGGGTTTTGTGTTTTTGTGATCAGATCAACCTCTACATTTTATATAGTGGTGAACTGGGTTAACAATATCCATTTAAAATTCAAGCAAACATATCCCATCGGAGAAAAGTCGTATTCTCTTCAACCTACTCTGTGCTTGAAAATTCTAGTCTGTGAATTTTGCATTTTCTATTGAAAGAATTCTGAGGAAGAACTTGGAAGTGTTTTAGGAAACAGTATTTTTCTTTTACGTAAAAAAATAATAAGAACAACAACAAAAATACTACTACATGTTAGGCATCCTTGCAAGCCCTTACATATATTAATTCATTTAATTCTCACAAGAGCCCTATGAAGTAGGTAACATTAGGCCCATTTACATTGATAAAAGCATAATACACAGAAGGAATAACAGCTGGTGGGTGACAGAGGATCTGAACTCAGACCATAGGGCTCCAGAGTCTGTGTCCTCAACCCCTCTCTATACTGCCTTTAAAAGCAGAGCAAGCCTTTTCCCTCCCCTATCTGGCCTCTAGTCCTATGACCGTGAGTCCATGTAAATGTCAGTATTCTTCAATGGCCTTTTTTCATTTTATCAAATACTATTTTGACCTACAATTTAATATAAATGTAACCAAGTCTAAATTAAGTCATTTAGAACTTAAGGTTTATTGTTTGTTTGTTCTAAATCATGTGGCATTTCTTTTCCGTGAGCAGGATGTTCCTCTCCTAAGCCAGACGTGATTACTTTATTGGAGCAAGAGAAAGAGCCCTGGACGGTAATGAAAGAAGGAACAAGAAGCTGGTACACAGGTCAGTGATGGCAAATCAGGCGAGGGGGATGCCGTCACAAGTTTTAGCCCTTTGGGTCAGGGAGAGGCATGGCCCTAAGATGTTGTTTGGAAAGCTCCTTTCGAAGGCCCAAGGCCTGTGGGGAAAAGGCCTGAAATCTGGGAAAACATTCAAATCCTCTCAACATGAGCTCCCATATATAGGACTTGTTTCTATAGATTTTGATTCCGCTTGTCTGGGTCGGTGCCTGAAGAGCAGTCTATGTAAGGAACTCCCCTACATCCATCCTAAGTAGGAGGACCACTGACTTAACTTGTTCCTCTAATCGCTTATTTTACCCTCTTTTAGAGTCACATCATTAAGTCTTTTGCCTTCTTTCAAATTGCATTACAATTTAGAGTTCTCTAAATCAGGATCCAGCAAACTTAGGCCCAGGGGCCAAACAGTTCACCATCTGCTTTTGTGTGGCTCACAGGCTAAAACTGGTTTTTACATTTTTAGTGGTTGAAAAAAAATCAGAAGAAGGAATTTTGTGAAACATAAAAATTTTTGAAATTCAAATTTCAGTATCCGTAAATAAAGTGGTAATATAGTACACCTACACTTATTCAATTACATACTGTCTATGGCTGTCTTTGAGCTATAAGAGCAGAGCTGAATAATTGCGACAAAGACCACATGCCCTACAAAGCCTAAAATTTTTACTCTCTGGCTCTTTACAGAAGAAGTTTGCAGACCCCTGCTCTAAACCTTTTCATCTAATGTGTATTGTTTTTAGTTTGTCTTTTATTTCGACTATGAGATGCAATCCCTTATTCTACCCCAACATAGAAAAATCACATCACAGCATTTGTTTCCTTCTTGGTTTTTTTTTTTTTTTTTTTTTTTTTCCAGATTTGGAGTCTAAGTATGTCACCAAGAAGTTATTTCCAGAAAAGGATATTTGTGAAATATATCTGTTTCAGTTGCAGAGAGTGGACAAAAGTAAAACTTACATCCGTGAGGATACCATTTTCAGAAATGATTTGCAGTGTAAACATGAGTTTGAGAGACAAGAAGGACATCAAATGAGATGTGCTAGTCAAATGATAATCCAAAAACATATACCTCTTCTTCTGCATCAGAAAATTCATGCTAGAGAGAAATCATATGAATGTAAGGAATGTAAGAAGGCTTTTAGACAACAGTCATACCTTATTCAACATCTGAGAATTCATACTGGTGAGAGACCCTATAAATGTAAGGAATGTGGGAAAGCCTTTTGTCGTGTAGGGGACCTTAGAGTACATCAGACAATTCATGGTGGGGAGAGACCCTATGAATGTAACAATTGTGGAAAGACCTTTAGGCTTCATTATCATCTTACTGAACATCAGAGAATACATTCTGGTGTGAAACCCTATGAGTGTAATGAATGTGGGAAGGCCTTTAGTCGTGTTCGAGACCTTAGAGTACATCAGACAATTCATGCTGGGGAGAGACCTTATGAATGTAAAGAATGTGGGAAGGCCTTTAGACTTCACTATCAGCTCACTGAACATCAAAGAATTCATACTGGTGAGAGGCCTTATGAATGTAAGATTTGTGGAAAGACCTTTAGGGTACAACGACATATTAGTCAACATCAGAAAATTCATACTGGTGTAAAACCCTATAAATGTAATGACTGTGGGAAGGCCTTCAGTCATGGCTCATACCTAGTTCAACATCAGAAAATTCATACTGGTGACAAACCCTATGTATGTAAAGAATGTGGTAAGTCCTTTAGTTTTCATGCAGAACTTACTCGACATCATAGAATTCATACTGGTGAGAAACCCTATGAATGTAAAGAATGTAGAAAAGCCTTTCGTCTCCAAACAGAACTTACTAGGCATTGTAGAATTCATACTGGAGAGAAACCCTATGAATGTAAAGAATGTGGGAAGGCCTTTATTTGCGGCTATCAACTTACTTTACATCTGAGGGTTCATACTGGTGAGATTCCCTATGAATGTAAGGAATGTGGGAAAACCTTCAGTAGTCGCTATCATCTTACTCAACATTACAGAATTCATACTGGTGAGAAACCCTATGGATGTAAAGAATGTGGGAAGGCCTTTCGTCTTCAAGCAGAACTTACCAAACATCACAGAATTCATACTTGTGAAAAGCCCTATGAATGTAAGGAATGTGGGAAGGCCTTTATTCGTAGCAATCAACTTATTTCACACCAGCGAATTCACACCAATGAGAACACCTATGAGTGCAAGGAATGTGGGAAGATTTTTAGTCGTCGCTACAATCTTACTCAACATTATAAAATTCATACTGGTGAAAAACCCTATGTATGTAAAGAATGTGGAAAGGCCTTTCGCTTTCAGACAGAACTTACTCAGCATCACAGAATTCATACTGGTGAAAAACCCTATAAATGTAAGGAATGTGGGAAAGCCTTTATTCGTAGCAATCATCTTACTCAACATCACAGAATCCATACTGGTGAGAAACCCTACAAATGTAAAGAATGTGGGAAGACCTTTAGTCGGCACTATCATCTTACTCAACATCACAGAATCCACACTGGTGAGAAACCCTACGTATGTAATGAATGTGGGGATGCTTTTACTTGTAGTTATCAACTTACCTTACATCAAAGAATTCACACTGGTGAGATTCCGTATGAATGTAAGGAATGTGGAAAGACCTTTAGTCGCCGATATCATCTTACTCAACATTTTAGACTTCATACAGGTGAGAAACCTTATGGGTGTAAAGAATGTGGGGATGCCTTTCGTCTTCAAGCAGAACTTACTCGACATCACACAATTCATACTGGTGAGAAACCCTATAAATGTAAAGAATGTGGGAAGGCCTTTAGTGTTAAGTCAGAACTTACACGACATCACAGAATTCATACTGGTGAGAAACCCTATAAATGTAAAGAATGTGGGAAAGCCTTTATTCGTAGTGATCAACTCACTTTACATCAGAGAAATCATATTAGTGAGGAACCCCCATTCATAATGTAAGGATACAGTGGCCTTTAGAAAATGCCTTTTATAACAACAGAATTCGTAATTGATTTAAGAAAGTTTTTACTTGTTAGGGAACATATGGGAATCCCTTTTGCTTCGTGCTCAAAACTTAACAGCAGTAGTTTTATACTATATATATTGATTTAAAGAGTTGAAAAATTACAGCATCACCCAGCCTTGGTTAACTTTAGAGAATGATACTGCTGCAGTACATCTCAAACCAAGATAAAGGGTACCCCTCCTCCCCTCAAAATTGTTGTTGACCAATACTTTTACAAGATACAATGAAATTGGATTACCAGATACATGAAACTGAAAGAAAAACAAACATACAAAATGAAAGCCCCCAATTTTTTATTATTGGACTTAACAGACATAAATTAGCTCTGTCATTTTTCTGTAAATGTCTCTAAATGTTTGCTCTCGGTGTCTGTACCTTAACTCATTGCAGACCAGAAGCAAACAACCTGTGGACCAGCATCAGTACATGGACCACACTTTATATAGCATTGTAACAGAAAATAATTCTGTTAATGTAACAGATGTGGGAAAAGACTTCAGCCATAGCAAATCTTTACTATAGTTCTCATAATTCCACCCCTGCCTGTGTGGTATTGTCAAGACACTACTCCCCTCTGTGCTTTATTTTATTCTATTTTATTTAATTTCTTTTGTGCCTCAGTTTTAAAGTGGTGATTATAGTACCTACCTAATAGTACTTTTGTAAGGATGAAATGTTAATAAAAAACAAAACCTTTAGAAGAGCACTGTTCAATAAATATTATTTTATCATTAGTGATATTAGTAAGTTCATGTGAGAGTAAGACCCTGTGAATATAAAGAATTTGTAAAAACTGTCCACTACCTTTCATTTTGTTTACTTAAATTAATAATTAATTATGAATAAAGTTTAGTAAAATAAACTTTCACTTCTAAAATTCAGAAGTCATTTCTGAAAACTAACGTGAGAAAGGAATCTCTAGAGTTGATGGATATGGAGATTATGAGAGAAAGCTTTTGAAGAATCAGGGAGAGCTGTAAAGCTTTTTCTTTTATAATCCATAAAGCAGACGTGTTACAGTCTTCTTTTTCTGCCCCAAATTCATGATAAATGAGAAACTAACAATGAAAAGGCCACTGTCCATTTGGGAAAAAATAATAGTACAGGGAACACTGGTATGCCCTCTCTAGATTCAGTGATTGTTAAAACGTTGTCATATTTGGTTTGCTTCTGTATAATTTTTGACATTTTTTGCTGTATTATTTAAGTATAAATATAGACATTATAACATTTCACCTATCTATATATATATCATGTAACTCCTAAGAATAAAGGCTGCCTCCTACTTAATCACTATATAACTTCACACCGAAGGAGAGTAACAGCAGTACCATATCTGTAATATTACAGATAGATAAGCAGTGCCTTAACCCAACATATCTAAAAGAATGTTTCTGGGAACAGTAGTATTTAATGGTACTTGAAAAATGTTCTGTGGTCAGAGACACTTATGAACTTCTAAATACTAAATCCCTTCCAAGAAAAAAATGTTAATTATCACGCTAGCAAAGGACTTAAGAGGCCTACAATAAAGAAAATTTGCTTAACTTAGTTTATCTTACTGTATCTTAAACTTTACTAAGGAAGTCCCATTCACAATACCTAATTTCTTTGGGATGTGAACCCACACTGACAAGGCTGCCATAACTGAAAAACAGTGACCCTAAAGAGGGACACTCCAGATAACCATGGCAGATGCTTAGCTATGTTGAGAAAGGAAATGCATGATGTATTTCTCTGCTGCTCACATCTCTTCCTCTGCAGTCAGTTGCTTGCCCTCTGAATGTAGGGCGGATACTTTCTACAAAATTAAAAACCCATTTGGTTTAGTTTTTTATATGAACATACCATGACATATTTAAACCTTCTCTTCTTTTTTAGTGTTTAACAATTTTTCACTATTTCAGATATACTTCAGTGAATATCCTTGTCTGTGACTGTTGGTTTCTGTGAGCTGGAATTTCTTTAATTGTACACATGTGGAAGTAGAACTGCTCATACATTATATATTCTTTCAGTTATGTTAGATATTGCTACATTGATCATAGGTCACATACACTTCCAGTTCTATTAGATATTGCCAAATTGTTCTCTTAGACTCCTATCAAATTGAGTATTCCTACAGCCTTATGTTAGGTATAAGTTTTAATAAATATTTTCACAAATTTCAATCTCAGTTGCACATTTTTTCAAACGTGTTTCTTGGCCAATCATTATTCCTTTACTTTGAATTTCCAATTCTTGACTTTCTCCATTATTATTGTTCTGTTGTTTGTTTGTTTTCTAATTGACTGGAATGGCATTCTGGATAATTCATTTGCAATTATTTTCTCTTACCTTAAATATAGCATTAGTTATGTATCTATTGAACACTCATTCTATTTTTATGAGACAGATTTCTAGGTTATAAATTGTGTAATAATAAGTTTTATTTATTTTCTAATATTTATGTCTATTACTTTATTTACTTTTCTTTTTGAGATAGACTCTTCAGAACAAAATTGAATATTATGGTGATAGCCGTCATCAATTTCTCTGAATCTAATGGAAATTTCCCAACATTTAATCATTTACCATAATGTTCACTCTATTTGGAGATAAATTCTCTTTGTTGCCTCTAAATAATTTCCTTCAATATTTGTAGGGGACCAGAAGATACCTACTTTGTTTGGTAGTGATTGCTGAATTTTGTCCAAGGCCATTTTGTTATTTATTGGTATAATCTTATGTTTTCTCACCTTAAATTTATTGATGTATTGATTTGTTTTTATTAGTTCCTTGATATAAATTTATTGATGCACTGATTTGTTTTTATTTAAAATTGAATTTTAAACAATTCTGGTCATATACTGTGATTTTTGTCATACTGCTGAAGTACATTTGGTAATATCTTACTTAGAATTTTTCCATCTATAATCATATGTGAGGCAGTATTATAATTTCCTTTTTCTTTGATAAGATTTTAGAATTCAAATTAACTGTTCTTTAAAAATTAGAAAAAACTTGTCTCTAAAATATGCTGAATTTTGTTTTCTATTTTTTGGCCATGCCAATTGGCATGCGGGATCTTAGTTCCCTGACCAGGGATCGAACCTGCACTCCCTGCAGTGGAATGCAGCATCTTAATCACTGGACTGCCAGGGAAGTCCCTGTTGAATTTTTATATATTGACTATGTATTTGATATCCTTGCTATAAATTCACTTAGTTCTAGAAGGGTTTATTTTTTTTTTATAAATTAGAGTTTTCTATAAACACAATCAAGACACATATCAATATAAAGATAATTCCTTTTTCATTTCCTTTTATGTCCTTCAATTGCCTTATTGCACAGGCAAGGACAGTGTTGAAGAAGCACTCAGAATGGACCTTGTTTCTGACCTTAGGGAAAAAGCATTCAGTATTTTATCATAAAGTGTTATGTTAGCTGTTCATTTCCATAGATATCCTTATCCGATTGCGAAAGATTTTTTCATTACTAACTTACCGAGAGCTTTATCATGAACAGTGTTGAATTTTGTCAAATACATAAAAAGCACCTACTGACATGATCTTTTGGTTTCCCTCCATCTTTAATGTGGTGAATCACTTTGATTAATTTTAGAATGTCATACCAGCCTTGTGTTCCTAGCTTATGCCCCATTTTGTCATGATGTATTATCCTTTATATATATATATTGCTGAATTCCATTTTCTGATTGTTCTTTTGGAGATTTCTGTGTGTATGATTATTATTGATATTGATCTGTAACTTTTTTTTCTTATGATCTCTTTTTCAGGTTTTATTATCAGTTAAGTTGATGTCATAGAGTGAGATGGAAAGTGTTCTTTATATTCTGAAAGCAATATTGTAAGATTCATATTATTTCTTTCTTAAATTCTGGGTCAAACTGCCATTGAAACCATCTGAGCCTGGAGTTTTCTTTGTGGAAAAGATTTATAGTTTCAACGACAATATATGCCCCCAAATTGAATTTTTATATTATACCAAACTAGTGAAAATGAATTGTAAAAGAGAAAAGTTCCATTTTTAGAGAACATAAAATACATAGCAATAAGTTTAACAAAATGCATGCAGGACTACTGCTTAAAAATTATACAGTTTTGCTGAGAGAAGCTAGAGAATACCTAAATAAATGCAAAGATATGCCATAATCATGGGTGAGAAGACCCAAAAATGTATGAAAGGCAACTCTCCTCAAATTTACCTGTACATTCAATGGAAGGTAATCAAAATCCCAACAGGCATTTTTGTAGAAGGTGCTACGTTGATTGTAAAACATATATGGAGGGCTTCCCTGGTGGCGCAGTGGTTGAGAGTCCGCCTGCCGATGCAGGGGACACGGGTTCATGTCCCGGTCCGGGAAGAACCCACGTGCTGCGGAGCGGCTAGGCCCGTGAGCCATGGCCGCTGAGCCTGCGCGTCCGGAGCCTGCGCTCCGCAACGGGAGAGGGCCACAACAGTGAGAGGTCTGCATACCGAAAAAAAAAAAAAAAAATTCATAGTAGTTCATAATCCATAGAGACAGAAAGCAGAGTGGTGGTTGCCAGGGGCTGGGAGGAAGGAGGATTGGGAAGGGATGCTTAATAGTACCAGGTTTCCATTTGGAGTGATGACTAAGTTCTAGAACTAGATAGTGGTGATGCTTGCACCACATTATAAATGTACTGAATGCCACAGAGTTGTACACTTTACAGTGGTTAAGCTGGCAACTGGTAAAATTGTATGCAATGTGTATTTTACCACTTTTTTTTTTTAATATGCTCACAAAGGACACAGAGAAAGGGTAAATGGATGAAGAAAGGCAAGTGTAGGGCAATAAGGAGGGAAGGGGACGGGGGCAAACAAAAGGTCAGGCTGGTGATCACTACTCAGCTCAATCGATTGTCACCATGGGAGAATGTGGGTCAGATTTCAGAATTTCTCAAGTTAAGACAGAAATAGGGATTTCATGTGAAAACGACCCATCTGGATATGTGGCAAGTAAGTGAGGCTTTTAAAAACAGAATGTGGGCCTGCAGGTCCCCAGTTTACAACTTTGGCAGCAGGTGACCTTTTGGGTTCAGCCAGCTCTAGGAATGTGGTATATAGGGACAGGGACCAGGCACAGGGAGGTGTCCTACACGGTGACACACTCTGCGAGGGATGCAAGTCAGCTCTCTGACTGGAAAAGGAAACCAGCCGTGCATACACTGGAGTGCAGAGCCCCTACCTCTGAGGTTGGGATGAGGCATCAGCATACATTGGCTCCTCCCACTTCTGCAGCGGGCAGAATTTAGTTTCCCTCCCAGTTGACGGTGGGCATGGCCGCGTGACTAGCTTTGGCCAAGGGAGGAATGTTAGCAGACACCTAGGCGCACAAAGGTTTAAACACTCTAGTGATGTTAAACACTCTAGCTCTTGAGGAAATTATGCCCCCTTCAGCCTGAGCTGCAGAGTAAACACATACCGAATAAACCTGAATCCAACCAACAGCTCAGGGCCAAGCCCAGCTAACATGGGGGCTGGTGCAGAGTCAGCCACTGAAGCCCGCTCTAGATCAGACACACTGCAGCTGACCTCAGTTCAGTGATCAGGAGGCTAAGTGTTTGCTGAAGCCGCTGAAGTTTGTGGGTAGATTATTAAACAGGGTTGAGTCAATATCTGATACCACCATCAGGAACCAAGTGGGTTTGGTAAATCCAAACCCCAATCCCTCGTTCTTAAACTTTGTGCCATTAGATAGCCTAATCTTTAAGCTATCTTTACACTCTTAAAAATTATTGAGGACCCCAACGCACTTTTATTTATGTGAGTTCTATCTGTCAATAGTTACTATATTAGAAATTAAAACTGATAAATATTTAAAATACAAGAACAGTACTCAACATTAGCCATGAAAGAAATACAAATCAAAACCACAGTGACGGGAATTCCCTGGTGGTTCAGTGGTTAAGACTCTGAACTTCCACTGCAGGGGGCACAGGTTCCATCCCTGGTCAGGGAACTAAGATCCCATATGCTGCGCAGTGCAGCCAAAAAAACCCCACCAAAACCAAAACCAAAACCAAAACCAAAACCAAAACCAAACAAACAAAACCCACAGTGGGATACCACTTCACACCTACTAGGATGGCTATAATCAAACAGACAGAAAATAATTATTGGCAAAGATGTGGAGAAATCAGAATCCTCATACACCACTAGCGGGAATGTAAAATGATACAGCCACTTTGGAAAATAGTGGAGAAGTTCTTCAAAAGGTTAAACACAGACTTAACAATTCCTCTCAAGGAATTCCCAACAATTCCTCTCAGAAGTATATGTTTTTTTTCAAGAGAAATGAAAACATATGGCCACATAAAAACTTGTACACAAATGATCATAGCAGCATTATCCATAATAGCTCAGGGGTAGAAAAGCAATCCAAATTCCCCCCAACTGATGACTAGATAAATATAATGTGGTCCGTCCATACCATGGAATATTATCTGGCAATAAAAAAGAATGAAGTATTGATACAGACTACAATGTGGATGAACCTTGAAAATATTATGCTAAGTCAAAGAAGTCAGTCACAAAAGACCACATATTGAATGATTCCATTTTATGTGAAATGTTCAGAATAAGCGAATCTATAGAGAAGAAAGTGGATTAGTAACTGCCAGGGGCTAGGGGTCGGGGGAACAGGGAGTAATGCTAATGAGTGTGGGATTTCTTTGGGGGGAGGTGAAAAGTTTCTAAAATTGTACTGATAGTTGCATACCTTTGAGGACATACTAGTAACCACTGGATGGTATACTTTTTTTTTTTTGGATAGTGTACTTTAAAGAGGCAAATGGTATGGTATGTGAATTATATCTCAATAAAGCTGTTATTGAAAATAATACACACACCAAAAAAAAAAAATCTATGCACACATTCCATTAGCTGGCAGAGTAATGACACCACCATACATGTAACCTCTGGAAAACTCCACGAAGTCCTCATGGGAGAGTGTAAGTCCTCGTGGGAGAGTGAAAGTGAAAGGGGAAAAAATATAAGGTCCAGGAATTAGTGCCAAATAGGGAACGACTCTAATGGGCTATCTATACTCCAGAGCCCCTTGTGGGGTCAACCAAGGTCAATGTTGTACCTGCATCACAGTTCAAATTCTCCATCCACGCAACCCTCGTGCCTCCCTCTCCCTTCCACACGTGTCTTGCACTTCAAACTGCATTTCAGTGTCAAACTGCAACAGGATTTATCGGCATATGGATGGACTATGAAGCCTAGAAGTTGCATTTAACATATAGACAAGCCCTAGTGTATTTCAGGCCTGTATTTCAGTACAGACTCATATCTGTACTGTGAGCCTGACATCCTGACCTGAAAGACAAGAGAAGAATAAAAAATAGCTGCTAGAAGCACTATTTACAATAGCCAAGACATGGAAGAAAACTAAATGTCCATCGACAGATGAATGGATAAAGATGTGGTACATATATACAATGGAATATTATTCAGCCGTAAAACAGAATGAAATCATTGCATTTGCAGCAACATGAATGGACCTAGAGATTGTCATACTAAGTGAAGGAAGTCAGACAGAGAAAGACAAATATCATATGATATCACTTATATGTGGAATCTAAAAAATGATACAAATGAACTTATTTACAAAACAGAAATAGACTCACTGACATAGAAAACAAACTTATGGTTACCAAAGGAGAAAGGCAGGGTGGGTAAATTAGGAATTTGGGATTAAAAGATACACATTACTATATATAAAACAGATAAACAATAAGGACCTGTATAGCTCGGGGAACTATATTCAATACCTTGTAATAGCCTATAATGGAAAAGAATCTGAAAAAGAATATATATATATATTTTTTCTGTACTTTGCTTTACACCTGAAACATTGTAAATCAACTACACTTCAATAAAAAATTTTTTTAACTTTAAAAAAGTGTATGGAATTCCCTAGCAGTCCAGTGGT